GATCGATGTAGGAGTTGGAAAAGCATCATATTGTTATAATGGTTTAATATACGACAGATAAAACCGGCAGACTTATCCGTGGCAATTATAATCGACAGGTCAACCTCTATATGTATGGCCAGCTAATGTATCTATGTTGCCGCTATAAGAACAAATACTCTTCCCCTAGGAGATGCAAGACCTTGTCGTTGGTGGGGAAGCTCCTGGTCAGGTGCTGGGGGGAATCCCCCCTAGCACTTGGCTTGGTCTAAGAAGCATCTCACTCATCGTCTTGTCCCTGACTGTAGTATCGTGGCCAGGGAATTGCACAAAGACATATAACGATACCGGGCGGGGCTACGGACAGCCTCAACCTTGGGGCACCGGGGGGCACCCCATTGTATTTTACCCCTTACTTCTACATGCTAGGGCTCTGTAGAAGTGGACCGACTGTCCCTAGTGACTCATAGGGACACTATGAGATCTGATAATAATAGTAATAAAAACATCACCGGTGAAGCTGTGGGGAAACCCCCTAGCGACACTGGGAACAGTAACAATGAAAGTTCCAAGGGGCCAAACCCAAAGAGAACTACAGGAGAGGTGGCTGACACTTGCGTGAGACCATCCTCCGTAAGTGGTATACAAGCTACCACCTCCTCCAAGGGTCGGGAGCCTACCTCCTACATCTAAACCCAACAGGCGACACAAGCTACCGTTTCGTCTACCCGGCCTGGGTCGTAGCTCCTCGACTGTGAGGGACACGGGTCTCCGTAGGAAGTCCTGGGACTGTATGATGAGTTATAACTCAAGAAAGGGGGACACAATAGATCTCTAAGGTCGCAGAGATTAACCCCCCTCCCACTTATACTAATTCTAAATTCTAAGAACAAATACTAAAAACAGAATTAAATAAATGTTTATCAATAAAAAAGTACTTTCACTAAACATTATCTTTTAAGTAAGAATTTTACATAGAATCTTTCAAGTCCTCGGTGGCGTTAGGACTTTACGCTGCTATGACGTTGGAGCCGTACTAAGGCAGGTCCGAATCCTAGTCAAGGCGACTTTTTTTAATCGTTTTTTTTTTAATTTTTACATATTTTTACATATTTATTATTGATTAATACAATTTTTAGTAATGTATTTCTTCATTTTTTTTAATTACTTATAGGCGCATTCAAATTTTCAGCTAAATCGGAAAAAAAGTTTATATAAATATAGTGTCTAATGTTGTATAGATAATGAATGGTACGGAACTCTTCGTGCGCGAGTCCGTCTCGCACTTGACCAATTTTTCAAATATTTAAGTCCGAAATGTCTAAGTTATTTTCCTTTGAAAATTTAAAAAAGAGTGATTCTTTGCTTATATTTTGAGAACCACACTGTATTTTTTTGTGTGTTTTCTTTCTTGTAGATTTAATCCACTACCTATTTCGCCATATTTTCAGAATATTATAATTTTTCACTAAAAATTATAAAATTTTCCAAAAACCTTCGAAAAATCTTAAATTTAAAAAAAATCCATACCCCCAGTTTTTATAATATACTTTTAGATTCTTTGCAAAATTTTTATGAATTTTGATATCAAATACTCTACCGGGTGCGTCTCAAAAGTGGCTCACCCCTATAACTTTTTTATTTTTTTAGATAAAAAAAACGAGATTTGATATGTTAGTATATGACATAAATTAGGATTGATTGGTGTATTCAACTGCTTTTGGTCACTTCCTCTTTCACCGGAAATGACTACAACTTTTGCTTTTTAAATGGCATCCTCGGTATTTTTTTTACTTTATTCGATAGAAAATGACATTCTGAGTAGAATGACATATCATATATCAACTTTTGACATTCTCGCTTAATAAAAAATTGTAATTTAAAATTCAATCTATAGTGCCATGGCTATGTTAAAAACACTAATTCTTCATCAAGGAGCCTTGGAAAAATATATTTGATCGTCTAATGTTTTTAGTGTCTTGTCCTGGCCAGTTAGAAAATGCTCAAATCGTATTTTTAATCATATCTCAATTTTTTCAAATGAAACGAGGGTGGCTCATTAGCATATTTGGAAAAAGATTTTTTTACGAATAATTTGATACCACACTATATGTATATTATATTTCAAGTCAAAATTTCGTTACGAACCGCAAATTATAATTTCAAATAAACCATATGCGAGAATGTCAAAAGTTGACATATGATATGTCATTATATTCAGAGTGACATTTTCTATCGAATAAAGTAAAAAAATACGGGGAGTGCTATTTAAAAATAAAAGTTGTTGTCATTCCCGGTGAAACCGGAAGTGACCGGAAACAATTGAATACGTCAATCAATCCTAATTTATGTCATATTCTAACATACCAAATCCCGTTTTTCTAACAAAAAAAAGTTATAGGGGTGAGCCACTTTTGAGAAGCACCCGGTATTTGGATATCATCTTGTTTTCGATAATATTTCTACGACAATAAAATGTACAATCATTTATTGTGATAACGTACCAATTAATATACTATTTAGAAATAAGTTGAAAAGATAACCATTGGACTAATGGACAGATTGAAGGTTTTAAATTTTCATAGTGCCCCTCTATTCAGAGTTTGATTGAAGACGTTTGAAATTCTTATTAGAGCTAAAAGCCTGTCTCCTAATTTATTTACCGGATTTGTCCCCGAGGTAGATTGATATTTGAAGTTTTAAGCGTCACTGTTTAATACAAAGTCGTAAACTTTCCACTATGAAGAAAATACAAAAAAATATAGAATAAGAAAATTAAATGAAATAACAATTAATGTTAGTGTAACTTTATATAATATTGAATATTTATATAGTTAGACCAATTTGTGTACAAGTAAAGAACCATTGGAAAATGTGGGCCTGTATGTTTAAAACGTCATACATACGTTTTCACAAATGATTGACTGTTAGATACAGTAATTAAAGAACAAAACCAACTTGGAAGGAATGTTATCATGGTATTAAATGAGATACTGTTTTTTTGTGGGACAGAAGCATGAACAAGAGGAACAAATCGTTAATATATAAAACCATCATCAAGAGTATAACAACATACAGCGGTGAAGTGTGGCCAATTAAGGAAACAACAAAACGAATGCTGGTAGCTACAGAGATGGATTTTTGAAGAACAGCAGACAAATCAAGACTCGAACGAATAACTGATGAACGCATAAGAGAAATTATGGAAGTTAAACATACAATAGTGGACGAGAGAAAGAACAGACAACTCAGGGGCACGTCCAAAGAATGGCAGAAATAAGAATCCCAACGGAAATAATAAACTGGAAACTTGCAGAAAAAAGAAAACCGGTTATAGATCGAGAAGAAGTTGGCTGGAAGGCATTAACAATTTTATGGAGGAAAGAGCTCTCGGAGACGATGCATGGAGAGACAGACAGGCATGGAGAGATGACATCGGAAGACGTAGAACGTTTTAAACCGATTAATATATATACATATATAGGTTTTAAACCATTGGCATTGTTTTTATCATTTTATTCGTACCCAAATTTGGTAAAAATGTACTTGTCACAATGGAATAAACTTTAAAAGTAATGTTTATATCTTTGTGGCAAGGAGTTCATTTTTTGGATAACTACTTGGGTTAAGTGGTAGAATAGCTTACAGCTAAACTTCGCCCACAAATTGTAAATATCTTTTATTTATAGTACAATAAAGACGATTTTTTTTCACTGCTCAGAGCAGGTTTAAAGCTGCTTTATCGGTCCATGGGGACAAGACAAGGTGCTATTGTTAATCACCTAGAAACGAACGAACAATGTTGGCAGCATCAAGCAGCACAGATTTCTGCATTAGGCGGTAAGTATTTTCAGGTATTCCAATTACTTTTAATTGTTCTTTCAGATTGACCGGGATAATTCCAATGGCTGAAACAATCAAGGGGACTACCTGGACCGATTCCATTTGCCATATATTTTTTATTTCTATTCTCAAATCTTGATACTTTGTTATTTTTTCTCTAAACTTGCTTTGTATATTGTTGTTGTTAGGAATAGAAATGACAATTATTAAAACTGTTTTTTTAATTTTATTTATAAGCCTGATGTCCGGTCTGTTACTTCTAACGGTTTTATTTGTTAAGATTGTTTTATCCCAGTATATTTTGAAACTATTATTTTCGACTACGGGTGGTGGATGATATTTCTAGTAGGGCTCTTGGATTTCTCGGTCAATGTTGAATTGTTTGAGGATTTCCAAGTAGATGATCGATGCGGCTCTGTTGTGTCTTTCCAGATACTTTGTACTCGCCAGATTACTGCACCCTGATAAAATGTGTTCTATGTTTTCACTTCCAGAATCACATCTACGGCACTTGTCTGATATATTCTCCTTTAGGATGAGTTTCCGGTAGTTGCGTGTTGGAATCACTTGGTCTTGCATGAATGGCATGAGGCACTATGAATCCCTCGGTTTCTGGGTAGAGATAACTCGATGTTGACCAGTGCAATGACGTCGCCTTTTCAATGTGATATTGATCATTTGGGTACCGTCCGTGTAACTCTTTGGCTCCCCAAGTAGCTATTTTATTAGTGATCGATGTAGGAGTTGGAAAAGCATCATATTGTTTACTACTGAGGTTCAAGGGGGTGTATTTGACATCAGCTGAAGACACCGTGACGAAAAGGTTGCTGTTCTTGGTATAAAAGTATTCTTTGAAGACAGACATTAACAACATCCAGTAAACCTCTACCTCAAAGACGATACCTCCAAGTACAATAAAGACGTTTTTTTTCTTGTTATTACACAAGAAAGGAAGACACAAAAGATCTATAAGGGGTCGCGTTGATTATTATTATTATCTCATACAATCTACAATCAGTGGCGAAATACTCAGGTCCTTCTCAAGGTATAAACAATATTTAAAGTTCAAAGTTTACAGACTATATTCTCTGTTTACAGACTGTCAGTTGACATTAGCTTTACTAAATGTAGAGAACTACTGAAAAATGTAATTTTATAATTTGGAAAACCTCTCTTACCTCCATTTTGTTCTTCTGTTTTGAAACCACGTCTTCACCTGAGCATCAGTCATTTTCAGCGTTTTCGCTAGGGCTGCTCTTTCCGCCGACGCCAAATACTTTTGTTTGTGAAACCGTTTCTCTAGTTCGGCGATTTGTAACCTGGTGAACGACGTTCGGGGTTTCTTCCGTTTAGGGGGCGTTCTGTTTTGGTAGGGGTGGCCTATTCGCCTCGTCATGGGGAATGTGGCTGAAAAGAAGAAAACATGAATCAGTTTTACATTATTGTCAAGAGTTAAATCAAGGCAAACTTGGGTTTATATCAATGTGGAAAAAAATAATATTTCAGTAAGGCAATTCGACCCAACCCAAGGGAATTGTTCGTGTAACGTCGATCTGCACATGTTTCTTATAATAAACATTATTAATTAAACAATAATTAAAATTAGGTCGAAGTAACGTGAGAAATTCAAGGCGAAGTTCGTCGCAGGTATCGGCGATAGAAATATATTCCAAATGTTTAATGACGAACCTGCCGATGACTGCGACGAAAAGAAAAATATAAAAGAGTATCCTAAGACAGAGTCGGCAGTTAATGGGTCAGGCAGTTAATGAGTTGATTAGTTAGACAGTTAACGAGTTGATAGGTGATCGCGCAGGGACAAGTCCAGAGAGAGCAACTGGAACCTAAGCGACCCTAGCCAAAAAAACAAATATACCATACGTAAAATACCATACCATAACATGGTATACTGATGCTTCCAAAACCAAAGCAGGAACAGATACAGCTGCATCCTTCAGGCAGAAATTTATGATACCGAAAATTGCGTAAACTATCGGAAACAAGAAATACCATACACTCTCATACAATATAAATAAGGGTTATAATAATATAAATGAATATAATCTAAGAGTTATTGAATATTCTAGATGGATTATCTATCTATAAGGTCATTTATATAAAATGAGAAACGTATAAAAATACATGAAACTAATCCAGCTATTCTTCGCTAGTATTTAGGTAGTATAGCAATCTAGTAAAATTTCACTAATAAGCTATTTGTAAAAACAAATAGCATTAGGCAAAAGCCTTAATTTGCTACGGTTAAAATACAAAACACTAATCCTACGATGGTAATTTTAGCTCTGTCAGTTCTGTTTACCACTATGTTAAAATGCACTGGGCTGTAGTAACACTTTTCACTACACCAGTTCAAATGGTTTTGTTTTTTTCTGTTTTGTCTTCTAACTAAGCCTTTACTATTCAGCTTCATGTTGATGTGCTGATGGAGCCTCTCTTCATGTCTTAAGGCATAATTCCTGATAACGTTGTCAACATCATCCACTTCTAAGTCCTTACGTTGATTGCCATTGCGAATGTACCACAGTGCGTCAACAATATCTCGTAGTACCTTGTTTTGGAATTTTTGGATAATATTTCGGTTGCTTTGTTTTGTTGTGTGGAACACCTTGTATATTTTACGTGAATCAGATGCACAATGTAATTGTCTATCAAATTGTGTTATACACTTTTTTACCTATCTCTTCAAGTTTTCGTAGAAAATGCATTTGTTATAATTTAGACCTCATTTATCACTATACCCATGGAATATTGACATTTTAGATTATTTTTAAAGATGTAACGAATTTTCCAAGAGTACAGATACTAATATTGTCAATATAGCTCGCTTATTTCATAAAAAAATTAAAAAAAACTGTTTAAATATTTTTGTTAAAAAGGACCAATTAATATGATCCCAGTATTCAGACTACATTAATTGACTGTTTATGTTGATTAATAATAATTGCTCCAAATACTAAAAAACTGAATTTTTTGTGTGTGTTAGACAGTGTGGTAAAAAGTAACGCCTTATAAATTTTATTTCATTTTTTGACGAATGCTGATTTATAAAAACAGAGACGTTTATTTTCATAATTTATTATTATTTCTGAGCCAAATCCACATTTATTTAGAATACTTTATTAATTAAAACAATTTAAAAGTATGTAATTAACTAATTTTTGGTCGGAAATAATGGTGGTATATTTAATTCCTATACTCTTTTATAAAGATTTAAATAGTTTTTTTGGGATATCAATAGGCTTTCAATATTTACCACCTGTACATTTTGTGCATATATGTTGCTTAAAAAAAATCTGAAATGTCAATATTCCATGGGTATAGTGATAAATGAGGTCTAAATTATAAAAAAATGCATTTTCTACGAAAAGTTGCAGAGATAGGTAAAAAATGATATAATAAAATTTGATAGACAATTAAATTGTGCATATGATTCACGTAAAATATACAGGGTGTTCCATTTAACTTGAACACGTTATTGCCGTTTAAAGCTAGTAATTATTTAATATAAATTTTTGGACACTCTGTATAAGGTAGTAAAATTTTTATTATTGCAACAGAATATCTGATTAATAAATAATCTTCAGTAAATATTTAGTATTAAAAACTTTGATACCCTTGGAGAAATAAAGCATTAAAATTTTTACTGCAATTTCTTAAAATTGAAAATATTTCAAAAAGGTAAGGTTTAAGTGTGATAAACCTTAATCAAATTTACCTTTATTTCAATCGTAGAATCCAAAAATAGAATAATATACAGGGTGTTCCATTTAAAAAAATACAACTATGATATTTTTTACTTATTTGGGACACTCTGTATCTTGTAAAAATATTTTTAAATTGTAGCTCTAATAGTCCTTCAACGATCCCAAAACTTACAATTTGTAAAAATCTAATCGTTTAGCTACAATACTCCGTGTCGTATGTGGTGAACAACCCTGTATATACTGGCTTGTACTCGATTTGTTTATTAGTGAAATCGATATGCACTGACATTTTTTCATTCAATTTAAGGCGCCATTTTGCTGTCCCACGTTGTATTTCGGCGACGGCAGTTTGTCACTTTTCGGTTGACTTGGCATAGTCATCTGCGGTGGCTAGAATTTATAAAAATACTTGTAAAACAACTGGAATAGCTATTTCTCTCCAATCTCTTACGGTCAAAATAAAATACAACCGATGCAAACACTTTTTTACCATCTATATCCATCCCATAAAAAACTAAGTTACAAAGTACATAACTTCCCTTATTTATCGTCACTTCCCTCCTTGAAAAATACTTTACTCACCGCTTATATTCAGCGCCCCGCACCGTTCCGGTTAACGTTTTGGGGCTGTCTAATGCGCTAAAACACTTTACGATATCACCAGTCGCTCTAACGACTCAATAACTTTAGAGCGCGGCGCGTAGGGCGAAATTATTAGGTAAAATTACGTGCAAACGACAAAGTAACCTTAATGGCGCATCATAACCCTCATCCTCTTAAAGTAACGCCTGAGGACAACAGCGACGAGGTTAAGAAATTACCTTTTGTTTTCATTTAGGAACAGCCAGGCGAGGCGTGACTGTGGGGTGTTTATTAAAGTTGGAGGAGATTGTTAATTATAAATACTATTTGATAAAGTCTTATGATCAAGAGTACTATGTCGTAGTAAGTTTTTACTTAAATCGATACCATATAATCGGGACTGTTTGTGACACTGTAGAAGAAAACAAACAACAATTATTTATCCAAACGATTTTAAGAGAGAGACTTAATTAGTGTAAAAATCATACACTTTTCAAAATTTTTAGTTTATTTCTGAGTTACAACCATTTAAATACAAAAGTATTTATTAATATAATATAAAACTCTTCTATAAAACTCATTTGGTGGCAACGAAATTATTGTAAAAGTAAAAATATACCAAAAGTACCCCTAAAAAAGTCAGTATGTAGAAAACTCTGTCTCATATTTAACCCATATAAATGCTCAAAAATGATACATGCTAGGTTAAATATGAGAGAGTTACAAAACGCACGTTTAAAGGCCCTGCTATCGTTTATACTAACTGCTGAAATAAAGATGAGAGTAGAAGGATAGAAATTAGATAGAGCAATTTATCCTTTTTATTCGTCGTCGTCTATAAGTCCGTACGACGTGTAGTGGCTCTGGTTCTGGCTCTAAGAACCTGACGGCCGCGCACACACCGCCCGTCTCCAATTTTCTCTGTTTTCTGTTCTTCGAACGGCACCCTCCAGGTTGGTATTTTTTTCAACCATGTCCACCCACCTGGTTGGCAATCTTCCTCGGCGACGGGACCCTGCCGGTCTTCCCTGCACTACAAGTCTCTCCATATGCCCGCTCCTGTTTACGTGACCGAAGAAGAAAAGGATGCGTTTATAGACAATGCTGGAAAGACTTTGTGGTAATTGTATTGCATTAAGGGACCGACACATTGGTGCGATGTGCTGTCCATGATATTCTCAACATCCCCCTCCAGCACCACATCTCGAAGGCGTCAATGCGTCGTCTGTCCGCTGCCAACAATGTCCATGTCTCAGAAGCATAAAGCATAACCGGAAAAACAAGACTATTTACAAGGTTGATTTTTGTCGATTGTTTTATGTGACTGTGCGACCATACTTTCGTGAGATGCGTCATAGCGTTACGGCCCAGTTGAATTTTGCGGCGTATTTCCATTTCGCAACTGCTGGTATTAGATATAAGTGCACCTAAATAAATAAATTGTTGCACAACTTCGCAGCGATCTATGGTTGTGATGTCTGGGCAGTTGTTTTCGCAATCTACGATCATCAGCTTAGTCTTTCTGTAAGTGATGCGAAGGCCGAACTCTCTACTGGTAGTTTCCAGTCTTGTTAGTTTTTAGTCTTCAGTTCTAGCTGGTTAGCGGTTACCAATACCGTGTCATCAGCAAAACGTAGGTTTGGTATCTGTAGCCATTCAGCCTTTTTATTAGTAGAACTCAAATAAAAAATCTAAACTTATAAGGAGCACCTATCTATAAATCAAATCAAAATACTGTTAAATTACACCGCCGCAAAACATTTATAAACTGTAAGTATAAAACAATTATATTAAATTAAAAACGAAGAAAAAGATGTAGTTAATAAGTGACATTAAAATATTAGTAGTGTAACAAAAAAAATACAGATATACCAATTAACAAACTAAATATTTCTCAAAATCTATTGAAAGAGCAAATATCTCATCAGTCCTAAAAGTCCCGCCACACTACCGTTTCTGGATGTTCTTGTCAGTAGAAACGACGGATCCATCAGCACTGCTGTATATAGAAAACCCACACATACGGGACAATATTTAAATTCTCAGTGGAACCAACCAAAAGAGGTCAGCAACCAAAAGAGGTATAGTTAAAACACTATG